ACTTTTCAAGATAAATTTTTAATTTGGGAAAATGCCCATTTCAGTATTTTCTCAGCTGTGCATGTGACTTTCTTGGCAGATAATGGTAAGCATTCAGAATAGGTGTATTTCTAAAAACCCTGCAGCCCATAAGCACACATAAGTAACATATGCATTGTCTATATATTTATGGTGACACTAAGGATTAGAATGTGTCCCTAAATACTAAACCACTTTTATAGATATTTGCTATGTTCATCACTTCGTGTGGTTTTGGAGCACACTTTTAGAACACAAAAACCATGGTATTATCATGTGGTTATAAGATAAGAAAGTTCCTACAGGAATCAGTTATTGTGCTGTTTACTTAAAGGATGAGTGAATCTGAAACTTGGTGGTCACTAATGTAATATAGCATTTTACAAGGTTTCTCTTAATGGATGATAAATTTTCAAAATTTACAAATAAAATCCAAACATTAGCAGAGAAGTACTTGTGGCCAAATTTCTTCTCTCTCTTGACTGTGAGAAGGCTATCTGTGGACTAGTAATACTGTGTTAGACATCAGAACTGAACACTTTAATTCAAGTATATAACCTTAATAGATACAAATATAATAGGTAAAAATTTCTAAAATAGTCATATTAGTACACAAAAATATGAAGCCACTTATGGAAAGAACAGGGATGGGGTGAAATGTTTTATTCCAGTCAATTAGTCCTCTGAAGAGAACTAATGTCATTTTAATTATTATTTAATGTTCTGGATCACATTCTTATACCTCAATCATATCTTTCATTCTTGCTTTGAAGAAACATGTTTACTCTTTTTTTTTTTTTTTTTTTTTTGGTGAATCCTGTTAGGGGAAGGACTCAGGGTCTGAAAGGCTTGGAAGAGGTTCTCACAGAAAGCATTCAAGGGCCAAATAAGATTAAAAAAGAACAGAACTAAGTCCTCACAGCACCCTTAGTAGGGCACTGAACATAATCCCAAAAGGCTTACTGGGCCTATGATACAGGTGGCCAGTACAAATTACGTTAGTCGCTTGTCATTTATCCTTTAAAAAGTTATTTCAAAACTTACTTTTCTTTAAAAAAATCTTTTGAGTCTGTCTGTCTACAGAAAAGCACTGAAAAAAAGGGAACTATGATTATTTCCTACTACAACTGCTATTTAACAAGTTCTTCAGTTGCAACACTTTTGGGGGTCTTCTCTGTTGATACTTACCAAGTCTACTGCCCAGGTGATTGTTTTCAACGGAATGAAGGTAAAGTTTCATAAGAGTCACGACAGTTCAGATGCCAGACAAAGGACAATGGCTAACAGATCTGCATGCACAACTTAGAAGTAATAAATGTCTGAGAAACTTCTAATACATTTGCAGTTTATACAGATGACTCTGATAACCTCTTATTATGCCATACGGAGGCCCTGACTAACAGCCAGGGGCCTTAAATTACATTGAAATTGATTCCTACACTGCAGCTTTCAGCTGTAAATTATGTCAAAAGACTATGGGCTTAAAATGAAAATGAATAGGAATATATAAAAACAAATGAGCTCTAGTAGGTTCTTACTAGTCTGAGTGTATCGTCACTGAAGCCCTATGCTAGTTATTGCCAGCTATTGGCTACATTACCTTTTTTAAATGAATATTGACATCAGGCTGTGTACAGAATTCTCCCTTTCAATCCACACACATTATATAACAATATTAAATTACAGTACATAATTGGTTAAACATTATTCTTTAAAATTTCTTGAATCTTGTAGCCGATCTTAAATACTGCATGTACTCTATTAAATACAAGCTCACCCAAGAGACATAAACTGACTGAAGCCAGGAAATTCTAAATGAAAGCTCAAGTTGACATTTTGTCCCTAACATACAACTATGTTTCCTCATAGCTACTAAGGGTGCATGTCCTAATGGTGCTCCTTTCTTTTATTTGTACAAATTATTTTATTGCAGCAGTCAGAGCTTTCATTTAAGAAAGCAGGACACATAAACTACCTTGAAACTTGGCCTGTGGTGAAAAGACATAGAGTCCTTCCTTTATGTGCTTCTTTTTTGGCTATTTTGGATCCCATGAAAAGAAAGTGAAGAAAAGATAAGCATTTAATGAAATTCCCAAACTACTTCCAATTTATGATTTAATAACTTCAGCCATCTTGTAATGGTGTTATTTAACCACACCTATTGCACTGCTATTGTTAAAATAAATCTGAAAACAATGAAGCCATAGTAAACAAAAATGCAAAATAAAATCTCAACAGCCATAAGGGAAGAGAAAGAAACCCTGCAAAGAAACCCTGCAAATAATATATAGCCTTGTACCCCAGAGACAGGAAAAAAAAAAAAAAAAAAAAGAATTCTTATCATCCATCATGTCAAAAAGTAAACTGTTAAAGATCACTGCCTTTTTACAATCAATTATATTTTCTGTGTATTTTTCCTATGAGCACACATTCCTATGTCTAGTTCAGTAATATGCTAACAACAGAACATCAAAGAGAGGTGGAGTCTGGACAGATACAATATCAAAATTACTGTAACTCAAAAAAATACATCATTAGTCCTTAAAAGCAGGATTTGTTGACAATAAGATATAAAAGTGATTTGCCACTATGTAATATCAGGAACTAATAAAGACAAATAAATCAATCTAGGTTTCATCACATTTCATTCTACCACCAAGTGCCTGCACAGCTTTGGGCAAATCACAATCCTAGGGCTTGCTTTTGTCCATCTGTTAAATGGTATACTCTTAAGCTATACTGTATGGCTAGATGGTTAGGAGAACCCTTGCTTAGTCTGCAGATAGATATAAGCCAGTGAAGATAAAACAAAACTTCAAGTTATAGTTCAAAAGCCTTTATCTATAGCTGTTTCCAGCAACGAAATTATGCTAAAACTTTGACACAAAGTCATAATGTATTACAGCAGGTGATTGATCCCAGGGGCTTCCATAAGACAGTTTTGGAATAATTAGGGTGTTCAGAACAAGAAAAGACATAATCTGCATTGATGAGTCCTGAGCAGACCCACTAACCTACAAACTGGAGTTAACGTACAGGGTGTTCATTGCTGCTATGTGTGGCTTGAATATGAGCTCGCTGAAATCTGGAAGAAGCATGTCTGTATTTCTGTAGGGCCATGCTTGCAAGTAAGTTCCTTCAAGACTGTGGTAGGATACTCACTGCGCTTAGACTTCGTAGCTTCAACCTCTGCCAGTGTGGGATCTCTGCACCATACTGCACTTACCGATGGTGTACCCACAAAACAGTTGTTTAAAGCCGACACAGGTCTTTCAGTAATCTGAGACATTACTACATACAGTTAGCACCTTACAGCCAGATTCAAAGTCTGAGCTGCCTTTAAAGAACAGGAGATGATAAATTTTGTTAGTCTTCTTTTTCTGTAATATAAAGTTACATTATTTGGTCCTTTGTTTGAAGATTCATTCGGTTATCTAAAGAAAAATTCCTTTAGCACTGTAAATCCATTTGCACGTTTCATTCTCTTCGACCTGTGCTTTAAGTCTCAATGGATTCAGTTAAAACTAGGAAAATGGAAAAAGACTATCTTTCTCCATAGGAAAAAATTCTTACTGGTAATGAGATTATTATGGTTCACAGATTGCCATCATCACACACGTATTGGCTGCTCCCCCACTGCAAGTATCCCAGTCTGCTGTGCTGCTAACAGAATAATACACCTCTCAGAATGCCTTGGGCTAGGAACACATTGCTGGTGCATTTCAGGTAATGTCAATAAAGTACTTCCATTTGTTCTGTAAAACGTCAGCTCAAACTTTGCTGATCCCTTTTCAGGTTCAGTCTTAAACTTGTAATGAAAGACAGCAACAAACAATTCTGCAAACCAGAAAAGGCGTTATTGGCAAATAGAGTATTTGAAAGACAAGAATCTTGTCTCCATTCTTTACTAGCAAAACAAGTCACATTATATTTGACTCTGTGTTACTAAAAGATGCTATTGGAAAATTCAAGATGCTTCTTTTCAACTTTTCATTCTTATTTTTCATTTTGAAAGTTAGCTATATTTCATTTAAAAGTGAGGAAAACCAACCAAGAATAAAAAGCTTTAGTCTGATCCACTGGGGTTTTTTTTTCTGTTTTGATAATCAGCACCACCACCCAAAAAAACTTTACCATCCAGCCATGAAATCAAAAATATCAAGTATTCACAAGTAGCTGGCTTACTTCTCTATCCTACTGCCATTCTCAGCAATTTTGTATGACAAAGGCATTTGAAAAAGAACTAAGAAACAAATGCAAAACCCCTTAACTGCTGGAATCAATAAAATGCTCTGAAGTCTTTAAAGAAATTAATTACTCATTGCTTAGATATTTTAAACTGAAATGATCATGACAACAATTAATGTGCAAGAAAGATCAAACCTACAGTGGAAAGGATTTGGACAACAGACACAGAGTTCTTGATCGCATTTAACTTTTATGATTCCCTACTGCTCCACATAGCAGAGCTACAGGGAATGCTCACAGCATTTACTAGGATATGCACATTTCTTGCTCACTCTTTCTTTCACTCAGCTCCTTCTATCACAGTCCAATTCATCTCTGAAGTTTTTGGAGACATTTTCTTTTTTTCTCCTGAACAGCTTATTGAACAAAGGCATGATAATATAAGTACACATCCCTTCCTGATATTTATTCCCTTTCATCCATTTCAGCAAGGTCCAACAAAATAACCCTTTATATTTTCTCTAAATCTGGAAAAATTGTTGAACATACTCTTGTTAGTTTTGGCTGAAGACATCACTAGCTGCTAGAAGCCTTTTTCCTGCTAAAGGAAAGACTTTCCCAAATGGATTAAGGTAGGTTTATCCAAGATTAAAAGCCTAAATTTGAAAACATAGCTTTGTGTTGTCCACAGACAAAGTTCCAAAAGACCCAAAAAAATTAGAGTTGCTTAGGACTTTTACAAAAAACATTTAAAGTTTCCTATGAAATCACTGTAAAGAGATCAGAATTATTTAAAAAGGATTATTTATTAAACATATTTCTTTACAAAGTACAATCAATGGTTTGCATTAAATTTTGGGGTTTGGTATTTGCCTGTATGTACACAAAAGCTTAAAACAGAAAATGTGTCTTGATTTTACACATGGGACACAGTACTGAGTTACCTTCATATTTGGATTTCTACCAACATAAGCAGTTGATAATAACCTTCAGCTTATCTGCTGATTTTTTTTTTTTTAACTGAAGATGAAGCGACAACATTTCTGCAGAGTGTCAGTATTTATCAATGTACTTAATTATGACAAAGTAGAAATGAATAATCCTTTAGGAAGTTTCCACTGAGCATGAGTGGAACATGACATTTTTTGGCAGGTTATTGGACTATCCTTATGATCCTAAAAATCATTTTTTGCAGTTATAAAATAAGAATTGAGGAGCTAGGTAAGTTTAATAATTCCCTATTAGCAGCAGTTGATAGTAAATGCAACATAAGGTTTGTTTTGTCTGTCATACAAGGATGTGTCCTAGCAGACACTATTGTATTGTTCTCTACTTGAACAAAAGTATCTGCATGTATTGTATGTCTGGAAAACAAAACAAAAATAAAGAGACAAAAAGCCATTTATTGTCATGAGTGACTATTGCCATCAGCTAATATGAATGCATTGCTAAAATTAGTGTAGACAGGAAAATGCTGTAAGGTAAATATATACAGAGTTAAAATACATTTCTTATCCACTAGATAGTGATTTTGTGGCACTGTGGTTTTCAGGTTTTCAGAATATAACATCTGTTGAGAGCAATGTAATTTTCAGTGCAAGCTAAAGCAAAAATACCTGCCCGCTGTCATAAACATGACAAACAAATCTGGAATGTTCAAAGTAAGTTCATCTTCCACTTCTCCACTCTTGAGGCACCTTTAAGATATGGCACTTACTGTAAACCATCTAAAAATCAAGAAAAGCAGACACAATAAGCCTGAATTTTCCATAACAACTTTAAAAATCACTGCCAGAGTCACTTGCATACGTAAACAATGCCTGTGTAAGGCTTGTCAGCAAAGCATCTTTCCTGAGAATGGAGCTGGGACACTCTCTGTGTATCATAAGTGTGCGTGCTCAGAGCTGTGATCGCTGTCGTGGCTATCGTCGTTGGCTAGTGAGTCCCCCGTGTGCTGGAGACCAGCTGCGCCGATGCCAGAGAGCTCAGAGGGGAGCAGTGTGCCCTTTTTCACATTCACCAGTTCCTTCTCCCGGGCCGCTGCCCCTTGCTGGCCCCCTTTTACCCGCTTCCACTTCATTCGTCTGTTCTGGAACCAAACTTTTACCTTCGGGGCAGAAAGACAAAATAAGAAAATAAAGATGGGTCATTGAAGGTGATAACAATCTTTCTATCTGTAGCACACCATTTGATGGTTATGTTGGGGTTTTTTTTTAATGTGCAACACACTGCTTTAATGTCTGTATGGTAAAAACCTTAGCAAGCCTTTCCTGAGGAGCACACAATCCAGTTTTGGATAGGATGTGAACCCTGGGGATGTGAGGATAAAGACTGCAGAGGTGGGAAAGGGTTACCACAAGAAGGCAGCGGGGCTATCCACAGCAGTTAGCACCACAGGGAGATCGCAGAGCCCTTTAGAAAACATTAAAAAGTTCATATACTCTTGAAAAATGTATTAAGGCTGTTTCTCAGGCAGGGAAACAGAGGCAACATGTTTCCCATCAAGGGGCTGTGCAGAAGAACCTATTTTTTTGTGTAACAGAGAGCCCTGTCTGGTAGCGGGGACACATACTGCTGCCCCTCATGCTTATAGTGCTTTTAATTGCCCCTCAAAGGAGGGTAGTTACTCTGGAAAGCAACTTGCTTTTTTTTTTTTTTCCATTTGCTGAAGTATGTGAGAGAGCACGACTTATTATCAAAACTTACGACTTTCCTGTCTTATTTCACATATGTATGTAAAGGATCCTGGTTTACTGATCCTCAGTTCTACTACATTTAGCCATAGAACCTGGACAAATTTTTCAGACAAATAAATACCCCCAAAGCCACAACGCAAGGCATTTATACATTTAATTCAAAATAAGCAAATAATTTCAGATGAGAATGGAAAGAAATTCGTAGCATGCAAGATTAAAAATGAATCTGTATTTAAGTCACATTAAACCCCATGATTTTACTCCAGCTGAAACTCATTTCCCCTCCTCCCCTTCTCTGTATAGAAATATATGGGGGGGGGAAGTAAACCTAAATTATTTGCACAGTTCTAAAGTACCAGCACTGCAAACCACAAGGACTTCTTTTTCAATAGCCAAAAGAAAAAAAAAAAAAAGAAAAAAAAAAAGATGTGCATAGCATCTGTCAAATATATTAGACCAGATTAAAGGCTGATCTCAAATCAACTTAAAATATTGTCACTGAAAACAGTATGAATAGAATATTGTTGGGTTTGATCCTTTTAGAGTTAATGTTGCTAAAAAATCTCATGCATGTGTGTCTCTGCAGCTCTTCACATGAAGGTTCCACAGAAAAAGAAACATCTGCAACTTTTCACTTGAAAAGAAAGCAAGAAAGCTTGCAATGTCGGTGTATCCTCTGCTGCATTTAGCAGAATGTGTTTCAGAGTTTTAAAAGAAACAGCAAGGAACATGCACAGCAGGACATATTGTACAACATGAGTAACAGAGCCACAAAAATGCTGTTTTGCTGAATCTGTCTTATACATCCAGGAAACACTGCAGTGTCTAACCTTTACTATCACTTTGAATTTTACATTAAAATTTTACTACAATTGAACTGATAGTTAACGTCACTATCTGTATGTACATATGTGGGAAGGAAGAGAAGTATATTTATTTTTTTACACTTTATATTCCTGTTAAAGCCAATCACTTGGGAACAGAGGAAAATTATTCCAGGTTAGTTAAGAGCCTCAAAGCACAGCACATCCTTTCTTTTAGTCAACTCACCAGAGCCAAATAATCTGGCTTGTAAAGTGAAATGAGTGTAAAGGGGAAGGTATTTATTACTGACTGCTGTGATGTTGGGAATTATCATACTCCGGTCACGTATCAGGGGTGTCAATGGAACCAGGGTCTTCAAAACAGTACAGCATTAGTACAGCATTGGCAGCTTTCTGGAGCAAGTTAAGATGTCATTTTTTTTATTTTTGTTTTTTTAAGACAATGAAGTTTCTCTTGTAAAAGACACTACAATACTAGTGCCAGACAGTGCAGTGGATGCAATGGCAGTCATAGTCTAGACATCAAAAAGACACTTTGGATTCAGCCCAGTAACCCAGAATATTATCACCCTTTTTCCGAAATAAGGGCCCAGAGAATTTGATTCAGTAAGAAGAAATGACAGCACTGGAGTGGCGTTTAAAAGATCTAAGCAATTCTCCGGGTATTTTTATGTCCTTGCACATTCAAGGAATAAGTTACAGCACTGAAAGCCTAAAACAAAATAATAATGTATACAAAAAGTGGTTTCAGGGAAAATGACAATGATGCATTAGAAGCAAAAATTTCAAGGCAGAGCCTGGATTCAACCTACTTGAACTTAATGGAACAGGAGAGATCCAGGCAAACCACTCCTGAGATGCATCTATTTCATTTTTGGATACTCGAGAAACTGAAGCTCCTACAGTCATTGTCAGAAACTATTCTGGCTGGGACAGACATGAGTAGGATGATTGCTGCCTGGCTCCTGATGTAGGTGCTCATTTCTGTTCTCCTCTCACAAACAGAGATGAGCTCTCACATCTGCTCTCTTGACTTTTTTTTACTCCAATGTAAGAAATTATTCATTTTTGGTTTCCATTTTTTCTTACAATATTTTGTTGCTGCTGCTTCTTGTAATTCAGGTCACTTCACAAACCCACAGCTGAGAGAAATCTCTTGTCTTGAGAGTTAAACCCAGGAGAACTGAGTGGCACCAGCCTCCAGGTAATGAGTACCGAGGACAGGCTGGGAAGTACCTCTGCATTCACATCACCTACCTCAGCCTAGCTCATCCAGCCATGCCCTGAAATGCTTCCACCAGGGATGAGTTCTAGGTCAGCATCTGTACATTGCTTGATACAAATCAATTAAAGGATGATGATTTCCCTTTTTGAGAAGAAGTGCAAGATACATTTATAAATTCTTCAGAGGATCCAGCGTGCAATGCTGTGTCTGCACATGACCCACTGTCTGGGAAACACAACATTTAAGGAAAGTAGGGCTGGAAGGACTCCAGCTACCTTTGTGTGCTCTCTCCTGAGTGTAGGAGGAAGAGGGTAACCCTGGTGTTCCCATAGGAGAATATATACTACTGACTGGCATATAGCCTGTCAGGCTTCCCATAAAGAGAAAATGGTAACAACTTAAAAATGAAAAAAAAAAAAAAAGGTAAAAAAAAAAAGCTTTCGGCTTTTTTATTAATGGCTTCAAATAATCTTCATCTGATTTATTTAGAGAATATCAAATAAGAAATTTATTTCTTTGGTATGTCAAAGATTATTTTCAAAAGCTAAAAATCAAAGTTAAGTTTATAATTGAAAATATGAGTTCATTTTGATGTCATTTGTTATGCTAATGAGTAGCAGGACTCACATAAGGGAATACGTTAGGTATTTTATATATATATTTCTTATGTTCTCCATACTGAGGTCCACTTTTGACCTGATCCAAAGTACACTAATGTCAATGTGAGTTTTTCCATAGAGTTCAATGGAATCTAGATGAAGACTTTAATGCTCATGTGGTAATAATGTGAGACAAGTCCTTCACTTGTTATTTCCTCTAGAGATCAAATTCAGGTATTGGAGTTTTGAACTTCCTTTGGAGATGAAGTCAGTTATGGAGGGTATAGTTGTTACTGATATGTGATCCATCTCTATTTTAGTAATGGGAAGGAAGTGAAGCAAACTTTGTGTGAAGTACTTCAGAGTGTCAGTTCATCTGTATTCATGGAAAACTGTGCTTTTCAAACACACAACTCATTTGAAACTTAAAGGTGCTGCACAAAACATGCATCAGAACAAAACTCCCCGAGAAACAAAAAGGAGAGAGGACAAAGAAAGAGGAGAGAGAGCAAAAGAGAGAAAGAGCAAGAGTGAGAGAAAGGAGAGAATGACTGAAAGAAAAATAAACAAAAAAATAAAATAAAGGTAAAGGAGAGAGAAAAAGCCCTTGCTGAAGTGACCTTGAAAAACTCTTGAACTTTTTTCCAGTGAAAGAACTAGCTTGTGCCATTTACAACTTCTGCAAAAACGATATCCTTTTAAAGTAGTTTAAAGATCTACTATGACAAACTTGATACTGCAGGTTTTATGAACTTTTTAACGCTGGTTTTCAAGTCTAAGTTAGCTGCAGCAGGAGCTGAGAGTACTTACCACCTCCCAGAATCAGGTCCTGATTGCCTATTATTTATTAAAATGCACTCTTCTCCACCCTCTGACTAGCACAACTTAAATGTATAGAGCAAGCATATGTATGTACAGAAAACAAAGGAAGTGGAGGGAAATGAATTATATTGAAGATGACGGTAGCATTAACAGCTGTTTCTAAATCAGCACTTATGAGACAGTTATTGAGCACATCTGCTTACTGGCACGAAAGCAGTTTCTTTTCCCTTAGTCAACAAGTTGTTTAGCATCTGCATCTCTACATCTGATGATTAGGCTGTTACTTAAGATACAAGTAAATGATTTCACATTGTGCGTTTCCTGATCCACAAGGTAAATATTTTTGCTGTGACCAATTTATTTTAATGTCTGCTCTGTAGGATTCATGGCAGGAGATTCAAAACAATGAGGTTGACATTGTTAGTGTTACTAAAGTAACCATAATATACATACCATATACAGGTCCTTAGTAGGTTTAAGGGCCACATTGTTTGCATGTATATCTTGAATACATGATGTGTATGTATGATGTGGACATCAACACACCATTTTGGTTCCAAATGACCATATCAACTAAACTTCTGATTTAATACTCCTTCTTCAGCAGAGACTTCAGTCACATTAACTTTAAGAAGAACTGATTTCTACCATGCTCTGTAGAACGCAGATGCTTCCTTTTGACACGGGATTTTAGCATTCTGTACTTACAGAGAAGAGCTAAACAGACACCCTCTATAATTAATGCATATTTCTTAATAAAGACATTCTTGTCTGAAAAATTAAAGCATGACTGAATTCAAACTAACTTAGTTGCACTGTCTGCTGTCTCTCTTCTTTTAAGGAAAAAAGACATTTCTTTTCAAAAAAAGCTCTTATCTGAAATGAAAGATTCTTTCCTAAAATTAGGTTTCCTATTCCAGGTTTTAGTGGCATGAGTCCCA